TTAACCGTGGATGGACGGACAAATGCACATACACACACACACAACTCAAACACATAATCTCCGCCCAGACTTTTCTGGTGGAGATAATTCATAATAATAATTCAAGGGTGGTAAACACAATACACACTCATTAGTCCCATCGTTTCACAGCAACCTTACTGAAACTCCAAAACAACAGGAAGGGAATGGTTGAACCCAATCTCTTTTCCTATTTTGGTATCCGATGAAGCTTTAGTGGTTCAGAATAGCAGTTGTTGTTTACTACACTTGTGTCCGTATTTGGTCAGTATAAAGTAGAGGGTTGCTGTTATCTTTGGCAGAAAAGACTGCTCTTAGATTCTGTAGTCTGTTAGGCTTCAATCCACAAACATCACTCTACCCATCTCTATTTTCAGGACTCAAAAAGTCCTCCAAAAAAACGGAGCACGGGCAGCGACTCGAGCACCCTGGTTTTCTAATGAAATGTGACCTATTAGAAGACGGTCCCGATGTCCCGATTAAATCAAAACAGTCACAATTGTCAATTATTTGTCTGGCCATTCTTACATTTCTGCTCTCTGTCCTGATAATTAGACTGATAAGATATTAAAGCCATATCGGGACCATGTGGCTGGTTTGGTTAGTGTTCTAAACAATAACAAACTCTATAAAGCACTCTCCCTGTCGCTTGGTGTCTTTCCTCTGTGAAGAGGAAAGTAGCAGCAGGAAAAACAAAGCTTCAGTCAGATATATCTACATGTATTAGAGTCACATGGAAGCCTGTGGTGAGGGTTTAAAGGCACCCTGCGGAGGGTTTTGGCCACCATGTGGCGCTATGGAGCAACGTTTTGATACGCGAAGCCCTCGTTTTGTTTGCATCTCGTACCCTAGGACGCTTTACGCTTAAAACGCATCTTGGATTATATTGTCTATTTGTGATAGAAATGAATATTAGATCATTGTTTTCATTACTATCCTCAAATACTGATATTAAATATTGCATATATGTATTAGCATCAATAACAAAACAGTCGGTTTATACTAAAATATGACACACTTCTCAAAGCATCAGCATCATGGATAAGTACACAAGCTATGGTTGGCCCGGTGCAACACGTTTCGAACACACGCTGGCCCAATCAATGCATTTCATCTTCTTCATACAGTGAAAACTCTTCTGTAACTATTTACACACAGAGGACATTCATACGTAACATTAATTTAGAAAAATCTAAGGTTTCTGCTTAATTTTTGTTTTCTAGTTGTAACTTGGGCAAACATGTTTCCAACTGACCCCAGCCCCCCTCTCATGCTAATGCCATTCTATAGCCTTATCAATACGTCGTTTTAAAATGCTCTTTATAATAATTATAATAATAATAATAATGCTATTATTAAGCCATCCCTCTCCAAATGTGGAAACTAATGAGCTCCGTGTAACCGAACATGTAATGGCGCTGAATAACTCCTCTTATAGTTCATGAGGTCATGTGACTAAGACTGAAATCAGTCTGACAGTGATCAACATCAAGGTCAGTCTTTTGGCACTTGCTCAACAGTTTACACAGCGACTACACAATATGCAGCCTGTTACAGTAAAGTAAACGCCGACTAAATCATTGTGGACCGAATATAAAAGACTTTATGATATATGAACATTGCCATTGTCCTTATCTTGCTGATTGTGTCTGAGCTGGCAGAGACGTCTACGTGTTGGATTTAAGCGGAATAATGGCGAAGTGCTGACGCACTTGTTGAAAGAGTTAAAAATAAATCAATTTGATCAGATAAAATTCCTAAAAATTGTGCATGGTGCACAGCAGGATAAATAAATAGGGTAATACAAATCCCATTTAAGTAAGCTATTAGTGAAGCATGACATGTGAAGTTTGACGCCGTCGGGGGAAAGTGAGCCCCGCGGCTGGATCATATGCTCCGTCATATCAGCTGCTATTAAAACGATAGCACTTAATAAAGCCAATGCTCGCACTGCGGTGAATATGTGTTCATGTTATGTCAGTGTTCGTGAATGTTATTTCGTGTAGAAGTGAACGTAAACTCACCGCTGCAGTGATGTTGTGTTTGGCCGGTTTGGACGACAAATTGGCCGCAGGGACGAGCTGAGTCCTCAGAGCGCTCCTGAGAAGGCGGGAGACGGCGGGCAGAGACATAGCGACGGGTCGGTGCTGCTGGCCCAAAGGACTGGAGGACAGGGACGGTACAACCGAGCAGGTCTACTGTTGACGTTACTACTGATACTAGCTGGCCTTACTTTCTGTTTTTCACTCCAAGTGCCAGACGCAGTGTGTGCGTTAGTGCGCGCGCGTGTGTGTGTGTGTGTGAGGGAGGGAGGGAGGCCGTTACGTTGACAGCCTCGGGCAGCGCTGGAATTTAATTGGCCGCCGCACCTCTGGGTATCTGACTCCGTGACCGGGCGCGCGGGACGTGTCCTCATATAACCCTGATATCACGCTTCCGCGAACTGTTCGCATGAAACGCTGGTAAGCGACCCCTGCAGTTATTAGGAGGAACCTGGTGATACAGAAGGAGTCTCTTCTTCCATATAAGCCATATTTAAAATGCTTACACCAATTACATCTCAAAAAATACTTTTGGTAGAGGGCTCGTGTAGGTGCTCATGTTTATGATGAATTGAATATATAGGCAACTACTGAACGTGCACATGAGCGTCGATAACTCTCGGGACGCTCACGCGCCGTGTGGCCGGCACGACCATTGCGATCAGAGGAACAGGAACACCAGCCGTCTGTCTGTTCCATCCGGCCCACTAAAGTCACCTGGACCAGCCGACGATGTATGAGGAGAACGGACCAGAGAACGAGCGTTGCGAAAGCGTGGGGTGGGTCGGGCTCGCGCTCAATACTGCCCCGTGCTCGCGGGACCGCATTTCCTGCACGCGGAGCAGAAATGCTCCCCCGCCACAGGAGGATACTTTTCCGCTCCTGGATACTGTTCTGTGCACTCGTGTCACGCGCATAGTTTGTATGTGCACGGGGTTTCAGACTAGTTTCAAGTTTCAAGCTCTTTATTCTATATATGTCTACTACAAGTTTATAATAATTCATTTTATATTTTATGATTACTTATAGCCCTTGTATGTTTGTATTCTCTCTGTGTCCCTATCTCTCTCTGTATATTTACAGTATAGTATATATACTGTATATACGTATATATCTTGAAACTTGAAAAAAACTCCATTGTAATAGCAGTTAATCTCTATATAACCTGATATATACAGAAGACCTATACTAGTGGATGATAGTAGAAATCCAACCTGTACACCACTAGAGGAAAGTGTTTATTTAGCAGTGGAAGTAGAGACAGTAACAGTAACATTGGTAGGAGGACAAACGGTAATACAGGTAGCACTAGTTTTGCCAGTCACGGTTGGCAGGACAGTTGAGTTTTAATGACACCCTAGTGGATCTTCAGTGAGGTGGTTACTGATCACAAACAGATCACTCTGTAACAGTGACCTGTTTCCCTTGTGTTGGCTGTGTACTTATGGATTTTATATTTATTTAGGTTTACAATCTGGATGACACTATAACCAAAATGTCACCTCAATTAAATGTTCTTATTTGAAATGAGAAAAAAAGTCAAGTATTTCCTTTAAGTCATTCGGGAAGAGGCCACTGCCCCTATAGTTGCTGGTGAACACACTGCAGTGTGTGAGGGCCAAAGATTCTGCATCAAGTTAAAGAAATGAAATAATACAGCCCCTCCGCCGTCCCAAAGCACAGGCGGTCAGTCTCACAGTAGCCCCTCGCGCAGCAGTCCCAGCTGCAGTCTGACCCCCCACACCCATCACCACCCTCCAAACCCAAATTGATTAAAATGTGTTACTTTGTATATTATTTGATAATATTGTAGGTGCAGGTGCAGATCTTGTGTCTGACAAGGCACCCTCTGACCTGTGGATGACCTCTGTTCCCTTTGTGCACCATGATCACTCCTATGCTGTTTTACTATTTCACTGTTTCGAGGCTCTCCCATGCCCCTTCAAAGACCAGCAGGTGTCTGTCTCTGTGGGAACCTGGGCAAATGTCGTGGGAACACAGACAGTTCTCGTGACAGTGTCGAGGTCCCCCTTGAACTCTGTCACCCAAACATGGCCTGTACAGTTTCACAGTTTCAAGGTTCCCTAAAACGACAACAGAGGAATGTTCATTTGTAGTTCTAAGCATATTTAGGGTGTTTTTGACTCACTTTTTGTCTCTCCCACGACGTTATTCCTCTCTCCTACAGCGCCCATGACAATTATGCAAATTGGGCGATGACATCATTTAGCGACTTCTAGCAACTTTTAGGACAGCCAATAGCTACTTTCCTTACTGAGGAGTTCTGTACAATTTTCTAGAAACAATGCATTAAATCTCAAAATAGTATAATTAATTTTATTAAAAGTAAAGACATTACTTAAATAAACTAATGGTCTTAAGTAGCAATAAATAATGTTATATTAGTGATTTGTTTATATATGCTTATGTATGTTGAATTTAAAATAGTTATTTCATTAAACTTAGACTAAAGAAAATAAATAATTCAAGTGAACTAATGATTTTTAGTAAAGATTACTAATGTGGACTTAAATTTGTCTACTGCATCCATTTAAGGTTATATGTTAACACAACTTGATCTGTTTAGTTCCTCCATGTGTAAAAACTTAAATTATTTGAGGCAACGGCTTTCCACGTAATTTTCGAGTAAAGTCAACTAGTTCGGGATAACAGTGAGTGACCAGCTGTTTGAGGACAATAGTGATTGGTTTTTTTTAGGATGAAAACTAATTGCGAGACGTTTTTAAAGGTAGGAATGAATGGGCATGGGGTTGAATGCCACAGACGTAGCAAGTATTATTTTATTTTATTTTACATATTGCCACAAACAGCAGCAAGAGTATGCCTTTTTTTAATTGTCTGGTTTTAGTTTGGTGTGAACTGCAGAGGGCAGAAATTCGCCGATGATAAATCAACGCTGCCAGAAATAAAGCTGGAGAAGAAGAAGCTTACCTCCTGCTTACAGGAAGTGTGGAGTGTCACCTGGCTATCTGTTCGTCTGTCTGTGCTCGTTGTGTTCATTGAATCAATCACAACATACCGCTGGTAAGTGTCCGAAGTCACATTTATTGCAGTTAGCACGTTAGCGGTTGCGTTAGGTTATCCAGATAACCCACGCTAATCAAAACGGCATGTTAGCATTAGCTGGGCTACAATGTGGATGTTATGTTATCTTTCCGTTAACGTGAACTCATTCTAAGTACATACACCCTGTTCTGGCATGTTAACTAACGTTACCTGTAGCATTTGAAACACATTTTATCCACAGTGAACTTCAGCCATTGGCGTTTAAACTACGTGTTGATTCATGTTACCGCGTTAGCAGTAACGTCAGTAGAATACGGGCTAAACTTTGGTGTTTCTCATCCGAAATACCGTTAGTTAGAGTTGGCAACTTTCTACAGTTCCGTTTTCTCTGCTAATTGGTCGTCCCGTGGCTTATTTATCCAGCAGAAACATAATAACTCATTCGTAAAGTGAGCAGTATATTCTGGTCAGTGTAATGTTAGCGCACCACGGTTACAAGCATACATGATCTATATACGTATATGTTCAGTGCTCTTGGGTTAACGTTGAAGTGTATTGGAATATGTTTTGGATTATCAAGGTATTTGTTGATATACCGTAATGCGTTGGTTGGTTGGTTGGTAGGCTGTTTAAATTGATGTCACAAAGAGTTTCTCCGTTATGTGCAGAGGCAACGTTTTAAACAGCTCGGTTATTGAACAGAGATTGGTCCTGAGGCGTTCTACTGTCTTAACTTCAATGCTGGCTCACTACTTTCCTCCACGTAGGCATCTGCACCGACCTTTGAGTGTGTCCTGTTGACATTGAGGGCGGGTGCTGGAGCTGAATGGCACCAGCCCTCGTTAAAGCTTTGTCCAACTGCGAGACCTCAGTGACTTTAATGTCAGTGCTTTCATAAATAACAGTTCTCAATAGATGTACAATCATAAGCTTACTTGGAGGCTCTGCCAATTTACTGTCCTGGCATTGATATGTAAAGAAATCCCATGAGGTCCAGGTGGATTTGTTGTTGGTCGTGTGTCCCCCTGTCTTTTTCTGTCCGACTCTGATCCTTTGTCTCATCTTTCTCACTCGGTTCATTAATACCTCTCATTCAGTTCTCTTTTTTTTTTTTTTTTTTTTTTTTTAACGTGTCCTGATCTCTTCCCACCGTGACTTTGTTGTCCTCTGTCTCCTCCCAGCTTCTCCTCCGTCGTCTCTTCCTCCTGACCCGTCTTTTGTGTTTCTACCAATAGATCAACTCACCTACTCTCACCTGCAAATGTCGAGATGTGAAACAAATGCTTTGTTAAAAGCCATGTTGGAGATTAAAGGAGCATGAAGCTAAGCTACAATCAATAAAACCAATAGACCTTTGACACAGTGGCAGAGCCAGAGCATTTTTATAGCGGTGGCCAGCCCGAGGCCAGTTGGCATCTTGTTCAGTTGTTTGTGTGGCACAGCAGTATGGAGGATTCTGTGTGAGTGTTCGAAGGTGGTTTGATTAACCACAATGACCAACCATTCAGGAGACAACCTTGTTTCTAGGCTTTCCGACAAAGAGGGAACCACTGTGATGTCCATTTTTGAGGAAGATGAGGAGGGTGTTCGTCAAATGTCCCCTGAATGGTTCTTTCATATACGTAAACGTGTTTAAATCATACAGGGTGAGCTCAGGAAGATATTGATTTCTGACTGAATACTACAGAATCTAGATTATGATGTTTGCTAATGACCAAAAAAAATTCACAATGACAGACTAGTGCTATTTTTGTATCACCTTTTAAGCTCTGACATCAATTCAAGGCCCTGTAAAGTCAGTGTAGGTGTTTGGAAGCGGAAGTTGAACCAAAGTCTGTGTAAGGAGTAGGGTTTGAACATAGTCAACAACCACAGCTCCAAATCCAACCAAATGCTTCAAGGCTGTGAAATTCGTGAAGGTGGGCTAAAGGTGTTTCTCTTTTGTCCCAATTTGAGTTTCGCTTAACAAAAAGTAGAGAGTCCTCAAAGTGTCACCTCAGAAGAATTGAAAAACAAATACTTCATGCATCGCCTGCTGCTTAATCCAACCGTGAAGCATTATTGCTGAATTGCATTTTCATCTCCAGGTTACATATTCAATATAAGAAGCTTCTTGAACTTGATCCTGGTGTAAAATAACATTTATTTATGTAAAATCATACCTCTGGGGGAAAGGTTTCAGGCTTTTTCTTTTGCATCACATGACCATGAATGACTGCTCTACTGCACTACCTTGTTCTGACACTTAGATGGCAGTCAGTCCTCACGTTTGTCTTCCAGTGCAGCTCTCTGTCAGCTGTGGACAGCCTTAAACCAAACTCCTCTGTGCTGGAAGCCTTGATGACATTTCACAGTAAAAGGCTGAGAGCAATGTGTTTGTACTGTAATAATGTGAGCTCAAACCAACAGTGTGTGTGTGTGTATCAAAGCCTGATGTATCTTCATCTCTGTGCCACAGAGCTCCATCACATAAGATGTGAGCCACACTGTTGCACTGGATGACATGTTCCTTCATCACCATGAACACACACTATCGTTTATTCTGAGTCCATCCCAAATACACCGTCCTGCTGCCACAAACACTCACTAGAGCACCAAATGTGGATTAATCCGCCGCTGAAAATAGTCCCCAACAAATGCCCCATTTCCTCCTGTTTGAACAATGTTTAATAACTACAGTGACCAGCTGTTTGAGGATATTAGTGATTTGTTTTTTAGGATGAAAACTAATTGTGAGGCGTCTTTAAAGGTTTACATCACTAGGAATGAATGGGCATGGGGCTGAATGCTACAGACGGAGCAAGGAAGTCAAAAAGTTTTGACATTTATTTTTCGATAATAACAACAACAAAAAAAATGGAACACCAGACTGGACCTTGTTTTGTTTGCTGTTGAACAGCCGACTCAAGTGTCAAAAGTCTGAGCGTCCTTGAACACTTCTATTAGAAGCGTCTTTGCTTTCAAATGCATCAATACATAATAGTGTCTCTAATGGTTGGTGTTGGTGTCTTGTGCAGGTCCAGAGAGCGGATGCTGCCTTCACTTCCTCCTGGATTCCATCCTCCCATTTCAGCTGAGCCTCAACTCCCTGTGTGTGCACCTGACTGTGCCTGTTGAGTGTATGTGAGTGTGTGTGTGTTAATTCGCTGTAGGCCTATGTGAGTGTGTGTGTGTGTCAATGCCTCCCCAGCCCACCATGTCCCCGTGTCCCTCAACGCTCCAGCTGAGTCCATCTGTGTGTCTTCGCCTCCTCTGCCTGCTGCTGCTCCTCACTGACTGCTCCTCCTCAGTATCCAGAAGGGACCCGGTTCCGGCCGAGCCCCTAACCCAGCCCGACACAACACAAGCTAACTGCTCCACAGCATGTGAGTATTAGCCAAGATCTATACACGAAGGAGCTGTGGACACATGATACAGCTGAAAAAAGTAGAAGATGCCTTTACTAATATGTAAATAAATGTGTCTATAAGTATGCAGCCGTTTTAATTCAAAACCAAAAGCTGGTAACTTGTTTTTAAAACTGTGGGATTTTTTCAGTATTTAAGCTGCATTTATATCATAGACTGTATATAAGAAGTGGACTTAGTCACTTTGATGACTGGAGGCAAACAATCACCTCAGGGGGATAAAGTTACACATCAGAAATGTCATCTTGTTGTGTTGTCGGGTACCCGAATCGACATCTCATACATGTGATAACAGAAACTGGGATATTGAAGCTCTAATGAGCTTCAATATCATCATAGCGATTCAGAGATGGAGAGAATAGTTCCTAATAGTTTAGCTTAGCCTTCTGCTAACCTCCTCAGCTGCACTGCAGCAGGCTAAACTGTTAGAGATGGAGAGATAGATAAACTGATATTCTGCAAGTTGAAGAAGTTACTGAAAGTGTTTGCATTGACTTTGGTGGAGATTGCAATGTGTTTTATAGTTAATTGATGTTGTTTACCTTCTTTTTCACTTGGTCATTCATGGTGTTGTCTGTTCCCCAGGTGGTGTAGGTGTAAATGCCACAGATCTGTATCTGAAAACTAACTCAAAAGGCAAACCGGAGGACCACTCCCTTCCCGACTTGTCTTCATCCAACCACACAGTTAATGACTCAATAAACCAACTACCCAATCAGCAGCTGGCATCACTAGTCCATCAGGGTCCATCACCGGCGATGGTCACTCAGGCTGCAGTCCCTCTTCCTTTTACAAGCACAGGCTTTTCCACACAGGTTGCTCATACTGGACCCATCACCAGCACTACTACATCCACTACTATGGAGCATGTGACGAATGTACACACAACCGCTTCACCGGTTACTTCTAAAGCCGCAACGTCTACAACTACGGCAACGTCTACTACAACAAGAACATCTACCGCAGAACCAACAACTAAAGCTGCAGAACAACCTGCAACAACTGCAGACGCAACAACCACACTCACAAAAGCTAACACAAGCGTCGTTCTTCCTACAACCACAGGTACAAAGACGTCCCCTCCACCACCACCATCAGCTGCCCCGCCACAGCCAAACGCCCCGAGCACCGGGATGCCACCGGTTCAGACCTCTTTACCCAAAGCTCCTACGACCGTCACCAGTACCAGCGCTACCGCCGATCGCGACAAGCCCGTCTCCTCGGGAACGAGAGTCGCCGTGGTAGACGTAGCGGGAGGCGCTCTGACCAGCCAGCTGGTGGACACGGCGTCTCTACTGGCCGTCCTGCTCTTCGGCCTGCTCTTCTTCTTGGTCACGGTGGCCGTATTCGTCACACAGGCCTACGAGAGCTACAGGAGGAAAGACTACACCCAGGTGGACTACCTCATCAACGGCATGTACTCGGACTCCGGTGTGTGAGAGGGAGAGGGGGGGGCGGGGGGGGCTAAGCACAATGCGCGGGGATCTTTTTTTGCGCTTTGAGTCTGAGACTATGGACTGGATGGTAACGCGGCAATGCTGTGAATTCACAAGGTGAGTGTAGACAGTTCATGGAGAAGGAGGAATGGACTAAACTTGAGCACCAGCTCACTGAACTGACCCTGAAGCAGTCTCTGATCTGTTCCTACCACAAATGTTCCAGTTAACGCTTCCTTCTCTCCCTGCTTCCCTTTCTTCGATGGTTTGAATGTGAGGAGTTTGGCTTGTCCCAGTTTTGCCAAATGTGGAGCAGCAAATTAAGCGGTTACCTGGATGTAACTCTAGTTCTATTGGCCCTCGACACAACCTCAGTCCAGGCTGGCTGGACTAAACGGGATGCTTCCAAGGTGATTTATTTACACGCAGCAGATTTATTTTTTATTTCTCATGTCTTACTGAAAAATATGTCAAAATTGTTTGAGTTATTGTACCTTTGCAGAAGAATGTAGAGCTCATTGAGGGCTGTCTCTTGAGAAAAAACAAAGAAAATCGAGTTGGAACAAATTTGAACCAACATTCTTTTCCCACATTCGAGCGAATGTTCAAATTTGGAATATAAAGTGAGAGCCCTATTAAGGACCAAAGCATATTTGTGGATGTTATGTCAGAGACGTGAATTTAATTTCCTAGAAATGAACTAATTACTTCTAATTTGAGGAAATGAAAGTAGCAGAGAGCTACTCGTAGCCAATAGCCGACAACATGTCAGTCTTATGGCCCTTGTTATTACTGTGTGCAGCTCAACAAAGCCTCCTGCGGCGTGTTCCCTCTCAGTCAGTTCAGTGAACAGAAGACTTGTCTTTTTAAGCGTCCACTCACTTTGAGTTTAACCTCCTAAACAAAGTGGTTTAGAGAATCTGGATAAACTGTCGTTTACTTATAAATGATGGCCGAAACTACAATAATGAGATGCACGCTGTAACGCATGCATTATTGCGGACTAATCCTCTGAATGTAGCAGGTCTGACCTGAGTGACTTCACAGGGTAGAGAGCTGGACTTGAACCAGCCTCTTCCATACTTCACTTTAAAATCAAATAACCGCGTGGAAAAGCTTCACAGGACTCCACAGAGGTAGAGCAGTTTTACACAGAGGGAGAGAATATATCCATCGCCAGGAATTAAGTTTCCCCAGATGTGGCCCGGTGCGCCAGCGCCAAAGAATATTTTGTGTGTTTGGTTCAGTCGGTAGGCCAGAGAGGCACCACTGAGTCGTGTCAGTCGAGTCAACAAGTTGATGATTTCTTCATCGTCCTGTCGGCCGGTTAACGTTGGCTCTGTGTTTTTCTGCCGTCTTTTTGTTTGGCAGCTGCTTCGCCATGTTGAAGAAAAGAAAAGACGGCCGTATTAAAACAAACAGCCTCATTTGATTCACTCTGAGAATGAATCAAATCAATCCTGGTCACGGTAGTTACACTTCTTTCAGGAACTTGATCAATGACTTCAAATATTTTGACATCAGGCGCAGCAACAGCTGTTATTCCTAAAAAAGATTAGCCACCCTGATTATGTGGTCGCACTACACAAACCATATTATAGCTCGGATTGGGGACTGGAGGAAATACTCCCTTTTTCACTGTAGCTGTCTTGAGAAAAGTTCTGGAGATAATAACCAAGGAGAAGACAAAAACCATCACTTTTAGTACATTCACATGAAATATGACTGACGGTGTGTGAAGCCTCGGTTGTGCAGCATTTCTTTATTGTTTTGGTTTGGCTAAAACATCTCTTCATTTCAAGATTAAATCAGACATTTTGGGATATCCATGTGTTTGCTGTCAAACCCTCAGCTCTAGTGCACGGGGAGATGCTCTCAAGTTCACATTTGACATGGTCACAAGCCGTCTTTCCATTCACACATTATTAAGCAAATTTTGAAGTATGGCGGTATGGAAATGACAAAATTAGATTGGAAAAAAAAAAATCCTCAATTAAGCAAACAGTTTTTACGCTCGCTTGAGGCGGTGTTTGTGTAAAGCGTTCAGGCGCTACATGGGATACGAAATGTTCTTGCCGAATACATTTTGACGTAGCGAACATTGAACTCGCATGACTGATCAGCTTTCTGCTTTTGGCATCTTCTCTGATTTTCTCCCAAATTTTCGTCTTCGTCTCCGGACAGCATGAAACATGGCCGATACTAGTCGACATGAAAGAACAGCTAAAACTTGCTCAAGTGAAACAAATTCCTGAAGACCTCTCTCCATTTCTCTATCGCACAATTCTCGCGGTGTCACGAGATCACGCCAGAATAGCGGGACCTCGTATCATGTGAGAAATCAATCGTGTCGGGCTTCAAGTAATGCGTTTGACCTGCTGGTGCACGGACCAATCAGCATCCTGCGAGGCAGCTAGGGGTGTGGCTTAGTGCGTGGGAGACGACACACTTTTTTTGAAGTGCCTACCTTTTTCCAATGACGGCTTGTCAGATGTTTCTGTTTAACAAACCATGTGGTGTGTCGTTAGGGTAGATGGCCCAGGTGACTTGTTTTGTTGTTGTTGTTCTTCTTCTCTGTTTACTGGCGGATCACAGCCATGCGTAGCCTAAAGCGCCAACTTCTGACCAAACTACTCTGTAGCCGAGTTCATTTGCTCCAAACCGGTCAATACAGACGCACTAAATGCGCAATTCCTTTTTGCAACATTTCCAAAGTTTGTTTAAAATTTGCTTGACAATTGAATGGAAAAACGGCTGCAATACAAGTACAAGTCCTTTTTTATTTAATTTAAATAATCCACAGCTAAGCTAATGACAGCCCCACGATGTCTTAACAGTTTCACACGTGTTTAGACACTGTGGTAATAGCCTAGCTTAGCACAAAGACTGGAACACACATTCACATTTGATGGAGCTTGGCGAGCACTTTCCCCTGCTCAACAAATTCTGGGCCTGTCTCTTACTGGAGAGGTCTGTACAACATCTTCCAGATCTTCTCATCCGACTGGTTCAGTGCCAAAAGAAGCCTTTCTCGCAACTGTGTCTTTTCTATTTCAAAGTTTTACGATTTCACTTCCATTCCATTAGCTTTCTTTGATGCCAATGACATTTCGTCTTTTTTATTTGATCTTTTTGTTCAATGTTTTTGCACACACGGGTACAGGGCCATACTAGTTTATTTCAATATATTTTATAAGGTTTTTTTTGCTCACGGCGAATGTATTTTTGAACGCTCGGCTATTTACAATATGTTGTGTTGTGTTTCTTCTGTATTAATCTGCCGTCTGTCTACGTTCATGACCAGCTTGTGGGTTATATTTTGTCCATAATTCCCAAACGGAGTCTTCATGTAGCTTCATGTTTACCTCACCATGCATTCTCTCGTTTTTATATTTCACTGATGAACATGGATCCATTCATTCGCTTATTTTCAATACGTTTGTGGAGACGCGTCATTCCTGTAAACATTGCGTTTAGCAAAGCAAATAATTATGAATTCCATATCATATGTTACTCAGTTTCCTCAGTATCCCATGTGTTATCAGAATTATGGAATTATAATAATTAGGTGAAGTTCTCCAGCTCATGAGATGGATTACTGTTAGAATCTCATAGTTATGAGTCACAATTCTGAGATATGGAAGCTCTAAACGTGAATGCACAGAATGAATAATATGTGAGAACGTGATGAAGGCAAACTCAGTAGCTCTTACCTGAAGTTGTTCTCAATGACTGAATTACTGTTGCCTTTTCTCTTTTCCTTACACGTTTGTGAACGGTTTGTCTGCTGAGGGGTTCATGGTTGATGAACGATTGCCAAATAATCACTGAAGCACATTATTGTATGATAAAGCCAAGGGAAACGTAAAGCCATTATCAATATGTGACTGACCACATGACAAAGAGACGGCTGGTGGATGTGAAAGCTCACAGCAGAGGAAGTTGTCAAACGTGTGCTATTCAGTATCTCTGCCGTGTATATATAAAATGCATTAGGTTTGACCCTTTATTCTATTGGACCTGCTCATTTTGTGTTCATTTTCCACATCTTTAAAGATGATGTCAAGCCAGAATGGATTTGTTTCTTTTTTTGATGATGTTTTAGAAATGCAGGGAAACGTTAAAATGTGTTTACAAGACGCCACCAGTACGTAAGCAGAGAGCGGCTTTGTTCGCAAAATGTTTTTGTCATGAAAATTGGATGTTTATTCCGTTATCTCGGGAAAATGAGGTGTCTGATGATTTGAAAACAAGCTTGTTTTCTCATGAGAATTTGAGATTTATTCCTTTAAGAAAGCCAGATCTTTGTTCAGCTCTCTTGAGGAAAACAAAACCTTTTGGCGGCTCGTTTCTTGAGAAAACGAGATGTTTATCGCGTTATCTTCAGACAAAAAAAAGTAACTTTATTATAAATCTTGAGATCTTTAAATAATCAAAATGGAAAAAATAATTTGTCCGCTCTCATCTTCCATACATGAGTGTAATTACTAACATTTTATTTTCTCGTGATCACTGACTCATTTTTGATAAGTTTAGTTTCCTCATCATCAGAAAATGATTTCATGTCTGCATAACTCAAATCGTCTAACCATCATTGGCTAAAAGCATTAGGGAATCACTGCCTGGTGTCTGGTATTTCGAGGGGATTAGCATCGTGCACCGTCATGCAGAAACCGTTTGGGTTATTCACAAAAACAATGATTCAGCAATCATTGGAAGTCAAATCGAAGGCCTCTCTTGAGGTCTGCAGTGATGACTAGAATTGTTCTTGTGACAATGTAGTGCAAACTGATGAGTCAGTGTCCAGTATGTCAGTGAAGCATTATCTAGATTTGGTGATTTTGTAACTGTAATTTGGAGTTGCTGACGTCGGTAATTCTAAAGTGAGCTGTTCTGTCCTTGAAACAGATTGTGTTGAAGATGGATTTGTGTTTGCGGTGTCTGATGAGCAGAATGACGGGAGGAGACACTTGCCGTGTGCCAACTCAACATTGTACCAATGCACTTTAAAAAAGATATTTTTACTTGCAGAGAATAAATAATAAATAAAAGAACCAAATTGATCTCGCTGGTGTTTGAGTCAATCGATGTTGTCTAATCGTTATGTGTATTTCATAGGAGCGAGCTGCACTGCAGTTACGGTGTAATACCGTCATTCCGCATGTAGGGAGCACTCACTGATCAAAGCTGGAGCCGGGTTTAGCCAGCGGTTCAGTCCGTGTGGGTCCCTCAGAGCCGGCTGCCCCATCTGCACATCACATTTCTCACAGCTCCGCCTTCGCCTCGGGGATGCACAACAAGTTCGGCTTGGCTTCTGCACCACGTATTTGTAAAAGGTGAAATCATTTTATTTTTTTTTTGTTTTTTTTTATTTTTAAAAATCAGATGGCAAAATGCACGCTGATAAAATTCCTGCCCGTGTTAAACAGTGCTTTGGCAAGAAAAGTCTTTTTTTCCAAACTTACCTCAGTGATTGTTCCAATACCCGTTGTAGATTAAGTCCTTAAGCTTGAGCACACTGACCACAAATCAGCCATTTTTCACAACATTATTGTTTTACGCCTTTGGATTCCAGTAAACCTTGTAAACTTTTTTTGGTTTTCCATTTGCAGAAATTGTGGATATTATCAGGTTCTTTTTGCGGTAATGCCTCAGTTAAGGTTTCAAGCGAGAAGGTGGAGTTGAAACCCTTCAGACCACTGATTGGTCAGAGAGAATTGTCACTAGAATCACTAAAACTGATACCAAACGTGAATCGAGTTGAGCCGAGCTGTACAATGCAGTAGAAATTCAGTAAAAACATTGTATGCAATGCCATACGCAGTGACAGACTCGGGCTGTGGAGCACCAGCGCACAGAAAGTTTTCTACAGCAGCCTCTATAACACTGCATCTCCTCTCCACGGGAAGGGCTTTTGTCATTTTTGTCATGTTTATACATGGAGAGCCCTCTGGTTGCCCCACCCAGAGGGTTCATCACGTTTTCTCCACTGGAGGGGCGCCTCATTACATTTTCTCCACTGGAGGGGCACCCTAGATGACACATTATGCCCATAGGGCATTAGGGCACTTTTGCTGCATTTCTTTTAAACATCATGGGGGGCGGGCCTTTAGTTCTGTTCCCACCAAAACTGACTAGAAACTTGAAACTAGAGAGCACTGTTTTTCACCCTGGTGTTAAGTTACTTTTTAATTAAAAGAATAAAATGCACTTAAAGTATAAAAAGGAGAAGTACTCTGAATGGTTACTCGGTTATATTTGTATATTAAACTATTGGAATGATGTCACTGATGCATTTATGTTAGCAGCATGCTGTATTCTTGTGGGCCCATGTTCTGCTGGTAAATCTTAATCTGCAGTCATTTCTGTAGTGCAGTATAAAGTACAATATTTGTCTCTACAATGTAGAGGAGTAGAGGTACAACTAATGAATGTTGCATTGTGGGAAGTGTAGGATCCAGGATTTTTGAAGGATTCTTGACACGACTTAGGAACTAAAGGTCATGGCTCAGGCCCTGCTGCAGAATGAAATCAAGAATGAGGTGCAAGTCCTTGTCAGCTTTATGGATGAGAGGAAGGTTACAAAAAACCCACTAAAGGAATACAAACGCAGCAGAAAGATCTTCACATCGACTGTACTGCAGTCCAAACACTTTCAACCGCTGGAAATACACACCGATCCCTCAGTACTACAGTTTCCATGTACACCGCCGCGTGTTGCAGCGAAGCAAGGCTCGCCATGCCTCACCTCTGCGCTGATTTGGTTTCCAGAGCGTCAGCGAGTGCTTTTCATCTTAGTCATCCGCCGTAACTCTGCCAATACACCCACAACAAAGCCGACGCACACAGCAACACATCAGTCAGGGTGCATGGGAGTCCAAACACTGCGAAGCCACACGCAGACTAAACACCACACACACACACACAGTAAACACGTTCCTCAGCCATCCCCTGCAGCTCACAGACACACAAACAGCTCGGCCTGCGTACTCTGGATGAATCATTTAGAATACAGTATTTCAATTAAAATCTATTATTTCCAATGTGGGAATGTACTCCCATTTCAAGATGGCACGGATCACAGTAAACAATGCCAAGGCTGCCATCGACAGAATACACATATAGTCAAACAAGATTTGCCTGATGCACTGGGGGGAGGGGACTATGCCTAACGAGCGACTTACATTGCAGCCCGGCTGCAGAGCTCTCCCTCAATAGTGCACCTATTTAAATAAAAAAAAATAAAAATAAAAAAAAAAAAAAGTTTCCCTCATAAGCTACTTAAAGCATGGTTGAAAACAAAATACCGAAGTTACTCTTTCATATTTTGTAACATAGTCAAGTTTCTTTAAGAAAGGGCTTTGAGACTTTTCTTGATGTGTGCCATAACATTTTCCACCCGTTTACCGTCGCCCCAATGAGTGCAGTGGTGGTTTGGCAGAGTTCCACTGGATCAACCCTTTGCCAATAATGACAGGAAGCCTGAGGCCCTAGACTGTGCACCTGAGAGTGCAACATACCTTTTAGGAGCCAAATGCAATTCCTGCTCAGTCTGGTTGTATCTCATTATCATAAATATTGTTTTAAAATAATGTTTCATAGATTGCAGACCAGAATGGCACAAAAGTTGCAGCCCAGCAGACCGCGTTCATTCATGAGCTAGTAGGCTTACCCAGATGCTCAAGGCTGGATTATTCGAATTATTGCCCCAGGGGCCACAGATCCCCATCTGCCTCAACATCCACGTTCTCTGTGTGTCACTTGGTTCTTGGTATTTGGTTTGTTTTTGTGGAACATGCAGGTTTGAAGTACAATATCAACTGAAGGTGTATAGGGGCATTAAGGTCCTTGACCTTGTGGCCCTGTGTTGGAGGAGCCTCATGTCAAATCTACTTTTAAGGGCTAATATTCATTTGAGCCTCTGGTAACGGGACGGGCAGGTGAAGCCAACTTCTTGGGTCATTTCACAGCTCAGTTAGTCTCCGCCCACACATAGATGCTGTCAGCTTTGAGCGCCTCATTGGATGCAAACCACGGACTGTGAATGTGATTCTCCCATATTCTTCACGAATCTAAACATCTGTGTCTTTTGACTCCCAGCACTGATGCTGTGTGTGTTTGGTAAAGATTGTTATCTGCTTAGAAAGTGTTGTTTCCCAGAGTTTCAGGGTGTTTTTTTTATTGGGCACTTTATACGAGTCATGCCTCACAATAATCAAGGAGCTTGAGACACAAACAAAGAGCCATCTGCAGAGAGCTGATTGCTTCCTGATCTGAAGATCAAGGAGGAGTTAATTGGCTGGAGACAAACACACTTAGAGGTGTGTGTGTGTGTGTGTGTGTGTGTGTGTGTGTGTGTGTGTGTGTGCAGGAGGTTGTAGGCATCCAACACCTGTGTTGTAATTTACATACCGTCAGATTGTATGAAATGTCAAACTCGACAACTTTGAGCCGATTGCCTGCATACTTCGCTGCTTGTTTTTTAAATTTAAATAAAGTGTTTTGCGGCACCTGCACTCTACTGAGTGCACCTCTCTAGTTGCCCAACGTTTTTTCCTTTTAAATAACTGGAATACAAAAATCCTAATATTCTTTTCAAAAGCACTGGGAGCATCTTTCTCATTGGAAACCAGACTTCCTGAAAAATCGGCCATTTGGACGATAGTGCCAATATGTAGGGTGCACATGAATTAGTCCTCACGTGTGCACCCACACTGACAGCTCACCAGCGCACCCACATTCACACAGCAGGGGGGCGTTTAAGGTTCAGGGAAAACAAAAGTTTTAAGAGGAAAACGTGGGAGCCATTAAGTGTGAAAACTGTGAGAAAACACATTTTGGGCATCAGAAGGCGTGTTTCAGGCTGCCTCGTCTCCGGGCCGCGTTCAATGAGGTTCAGTAATGTGAATACTGCACTTCACGTTTCCAAAGCACTACAGGGCGTTATTTTTCAATGGTTTGGTCGCAGCAGGTGCGCATCTCCAATCAACAAATCCGGGACCTCTACCGCTGCCAAGTCGAACTTGTCTCAACTTTTCAACGTGAACGTATCTCCTTTCAAACGGTCACCATTACAACTCTGTGCCTTTTTCTCTTGATGGGGTGGGACACAATTTCGGGCAGTGGTGGAGGAAGTACTCCTAAGGTAAAAGTAACAATACCACAGTTGAGAGATTACTTCAAGTAAAAATCCTGCATTTAAAAATACACATTCGTAAAAGTATTCTTTATACAGGATAGTCCATTTCAGAACGTTAAGTTAAGGAGCCATCAAGGTCCCTGTGAAGGACCAGGGTACGCATAAAGCCGGGAGAGCGAGCAAAGGTGAAGAAATACGGATACTTTACAAGAATTAAGATGGGTAACAAAATGAAGCAGAAGTGACTAATTAAAATAGCTATATAAACTTCACATAATTGCTCTGGAGTCTAAGCACAACTTAACTAAACAGAACTTAATTTAAAACAATGTAGTAAGTGCTCTTCTGACCAAGATCTCCTAAAGGCATGAATATATATACTATGCTGGCCAGTCCATAGTTGATTGCAGGGGAGAGAAGACATTCCTCTTCTTCAAACAGTGTGGTGCAGATGTAGGGGCTCCTGAGAACACCCCTCTGGCTGTAGTAGAATGGCACAGTCCAATTTCTACTTGTATATCTCTATCTGTAGCTGTCCTGTTCACCACTATGTTATGAATGTGTATAGTTTTGCATCGTATTACAAATACTACAAATACTTTAGTTTAATTTTGTGCACTTGGAATCACTCTGCAAAAAAGAGCAAACAAATAAATGTGAGAAGAGTTTTGAAAAATAGTCAATTTTAGAGAAGTGTGAGACACAAAATGACCATAAAGAGACACACAACCACAGAGAGATGTGTAACGAGGACAAGGAGAGAGGACAACCAAAAGAGGCCAAACAGCTTAACAGTCTGTGCATCTTGCTGCTATGAAGGACTGTTAAAAACAGTTTTCAGTTAGGTGTGTAAAAATGTCGCATGTTCACACTGGAAAAATACAATATTTCTGCCTGCAGAATAAAATAAAACCTTTTTTGCATGCGATATCAATGTTGAAAAGCATTCCTCCAGTATTAGAGCTGTACTGGTGTGTTATTCGCTATAGTTAGTAGTTCTTTTTTAGGATTAAAAGCACTGTTACGTCCCCTTTTCTATTACTCTAGAGCACATGTGTCAAACTCAAGGCCCGCGGGCCGAATCCGGCCCGCCACGTCTTTTATGTGGCCCGCGAAGGCATATTTCCATCAGCAAAAAAAAATAAATAATACTTTAAAGTCATAATTATGATATATTTTTATTATCAAGTCTAACTTTATTTGTTTTTTTCTTCTGAAATGGGCTTCCATATAAAAGGCATATGATTGTCTTAAAATTAAACTCTATGCTGCTTCATAGTGTACACTACAGTGACCATAAACTACATCTCCCACAATGCATGTTGAGTTTGTGACCCGCGAAATGACGGACTCCGGCCGCTAGTAGCGTTAATGTTAACTAAATCGGTTTTCCAACAAATTATTGAGTTGAAAATGTTCGACAAATAATCCCAACATGTCTAAGAAGAGGAAAATTGATACAGAGGGAAGGACATTTAATAAAAGATGGGAAAGCGAATATATGTTTGTTCTTCAAGGAGAGAAACCGGTCTGTCTTCTGTGCTATGAGGCAGTGTCGGTGATGAAAGAATACAATTTACGTCGGCATTTTGACACCAAACACGAGCCAAGTATGCTAAATTTAGCCTCCAAGAAAAACATCAACTTGTTCAAAAATTAAAAGGCAGACTCCAATCGCAGCAGAACATATTCACAAAAGCTGCAGCCAAAAATGATGCCACTGTGAAAGCTAGCTTTATTGTGGCTGAAGAAATCGCCCGAGCTTCCAAGTCCTTTTCAGAGGGTGCATTTTTGAAGGAGTGTTTGCTCAAGGTTTGTGAGCAGGTGTGCCCCCCGACCAGGTACAGGCTTTTAAAAATGTCAGTTTGTCAAGGAACACCATCGCAGACAGAGTTCAGGAACTAGCAGGCAATCTGACAACACAGCTAGCCGAAGAGTCCAGCAGTTACGTGGCTTTTTCATTAGCTGTTGATGAAAGCACAGACAACACGGACACAGCGCAACTGTCAATTTTTGTAAGAGGCGTGAAGGCAGACTTGACTGTCAGTGAGGAGCTCTTGGATGTAGTTGCCCTGCATGGAACGACAACGGGAGGGGGAGTGCATTTTTGATGCAGTGGAGAGGTCCACAAGTAAAATTAAATTACCCTGGGAAAAGTTGGTGGGGCTAACTACCGATGGCGCACCTGCAATGTGTGGACAAAAAACAGGCTTGGTTGGACTAGTGAAGGAGAAAATGCAAAAAAGTAACTGCCACACCCCTCTGATAACTTATCATTGCATTATCCACCAAGAAGCTCTGTGTGGAAAGGTTCTGGAACTGGATAATACAATGACCACGGTCGTGAAAACAGTGAACTTCATTCGGGCGTGTGGCCGGAATCACCGCCAGTTCCAGCTGTTTTTGAAGGACTCGGGCTCGGAGCATGGAGATGTGCCGTACTATACAGAAGGTGAGTAGGAACGCGGTCCTCAAACGATTTTTTGATCTTCGGGAAGAAATTGCTGTTTTCATGCAAAGTAAAGGAAACCCCTTGCCTGAACTGTCAGATCCAAACTGGCTGTGTGATTTCGCTATGTTGTGTGACATAACGGAGCATCTTGCCCAACTGAATCAGGGGACGCAAACAAGTCATCACAAAGATGTCCGACATGATCACAGCTTTCCAGCGTGAACTGCAGCTATGGAAGTCCCAACTGGAACAGGACAATCTTGCACACTTTCCTGTCTGCCAGGAAATCTCAGCCTCAGTTCCTGGTGCTTTTTCATGTGCTCGATTGGCTACCAAAGTGAACCGGTTAATGACTGAATTTGATCGGCGCTTCTCTGACTTCAGAACACAGCGCATTGACTTTGCCATCTTTGCCAATCCTTTCACCGGCGACGTCGACAGTGCACCCCATCTCCTTCAGATGGAGTTAATAGAGCAAAGCGATAGTGACCTGAGAGCAAAGTTCCAGGATGCTGCAATCGAGGATTTTTACCGTCTCTTGCCTCCTGCTTTGACGCCACAGCTCCGACTTCAAGCTGCCCGTGTTCTGTCCATGTTTGGGAGCACCTACAGTGGGTACGGAAAGTATTCAGACCCCTTTAAATTTTTCACTCTTTGTTTCATTGCAGCCATTTGCTAAAATCAAAAAAGTTCCTTTTATTTCTCATTAATGTACACTCAGCACCCCATCTTGACAGAAAAAAACAAATGTAGAAATTTTTGCAAATTTATTAAAAAAGAAAAACTGAAATATCACATGGTTATAAGTATTCAGACCCTTTGCTCAGTATTGAGTAGAAGCACCCTTTTGAGCTAGTACAGCCATGAGTCTTCTTGGGAATGATGCAACAAGTTTTTCACACCTGGATTTGGGGATCCTCTGCCATTCTTCCTTGCAGATCCTCTCCAGTTCCGTCAGGTTGGATGGTGAACGTTGGTGGACAGCCATTTTCAAAAAACACATGAAGGACTCCCAGACTATGAGAAATAAGATTCTCTGGTCTGATGAGACCAAGATTGAACTTTTTGGCATTAATTCTAAGCGGTATGTGTGGAGAAAACCAGACACTGCTCATCACCTGCCCAATACAATCCCAACAGTGAAACATGGTGGTGGCAGCATCATGCTATGGGGGTGTTTTTCAGCTGCAGGGACAGGACGACTGGTTGCAATTGAAGGAAAGATGAATGCGGCCGAGTACAGAGATATCCTGGAAGAAAACCTCTTCCAGAGTGCTCTAGACCTCAGACTGGGCCGAAGGTTCACCTTCCAACAAGACAATGACCCTAAGCACACAGCTAAAATAACAAAGGAGGGGCTTCGGAACAACTCTGTGACCATTCTTGACTGGCCCAGCCAGAGCCCTGACCTAAACCCAATTGAGCATCTCTGGAGAGACCTGAAAATGGCTGTCCACCAACGTTCACCATCCAACCTGACGGAACTGGAGAGGATCTGCAAGGAAGAATGGCAGAGGATCCCCAAATCCAGGTGTGAAAAACGTGTTGCATCATTCCCAAGAAGACTCATGGCTGTACTAGCTCAAAAGGGTGCTTCTACTCAATACTGAGCAAAGGGTCTGAATACTTATGACCATGTGATATTTCAGTTTCTTTTTTAATAAATTTGCAAAAATTTCTACATTTCTGTTTTTTTCTGTCAAGATGGGGTGCTGAGTGTACATTAATGAGAAATAAAATGAACTTTTTTGATTTTAACAAATGGCTGCAATGAAACAAAGAGTGAAAAATTTAAAGGGGTCTGAATACTTTCCGTACCCACTGTATCTGTGCGAACAGATGTTTTCAATAATGACTAAACCAGTGGCAGCTGGTGGAAAATTTTCTAGGTAGGGCCATCCTATCAATTTCAGCAAACATCCCAGTATGATTTAATGCAAAAAAATTAAAGTATGAAACACGCATTACTACTTTGCAGTTAAATATTTAACATTTATTCCAACACGAAAAAAAGCAGTAAATAACACTTATATAATATAATACAGTGTCGGGCCGTGCATTTTATATCTGGGCCTACACTCGTAAAAATGAAGCTCAACACCTACAAATGCACTGAGTGCAGATACATGAATACCGGCATGACGGGATGCGGCGGCATTAACGAACAATGAGTCAAAATCAATTCAGCTAAAACACACATTCCGCCACACACTCAAGAACACGGGCCATTCAAATATTATTAACATCAGAGGGAACAATATTACCCATATCATGAAAACGACACGATAGACAAATTAACAGAGTAGTAACTCTCCTATCACTTCCTCTAGGAAATACACGACTCCATAGTTCTTGTTACTGACGGATTTATTCGTTTGTCAACACTGAGAGGGAAAACGAGTCCACTTGAAAGCACATGAATCTTCAAAGTAGATCACTTAAAAACTTAAACTTAACTTTAACACTTTGCACGGAGTATATAGACCGCTGCCGCTTCGCGCGTCGTCTTGTTGCTGTGCACCGGCTAAATGTGTCCCCCGCGCAACATAGGACGTAACAATAGTTCCTATCACATATAAAACCAAATGAAAATCCATATAAATTGTATAAATAATAATATATAATATAAACAAGCATATTAAATGATGACATAGATCATATTTATGGCAGTTAAAGCTACTGCAGTTAACTTACCAGAGCTGTTGTTCACTATTTAGCTGTTCTTCCTCCTTTCTTTGTTAACAAAGAGTTTAATCTCACGGTTGTTCAGTACATCCGTGCATTTTTAGTTCCAGTAAGAAGTCCTTCTCAATTCATGGATGCCAGTGAAGACAGTCAAGCCTCCCCAGTTGTATTTCTTGAATAGGTTTTAATGCGTTTGAGGCTGAAAATGTCTGCTCAACAGAGGCAGCAGATTTTGGGATTGTCACCGCCCATCATGTCAGGCTAGCTCACTGACCAATCACGTATGGCTAGGCCAGCTAGCAGGCTCTGGCACATCAAAGAATACGCCCAACATGTCAAACTAAAGATCTGATTGGTTGAAGACTGTGACAATCAACAATATCGTCCCCATTCACTTAAACTGCAAAGGGATTCACTTGTGAGTCTGCAGGCCTCGGGCCTCTGTTCTTACCTAGAGACACAGAGGTGAAATCTGATTGGATAGAAGCTCTACTTAAAACAAGCTGCACTGGAAGCAGAGCAACTGAGGAAGACAATAGCTGTGCAATGAGAAAATAAGATAATGGGAAAAATATTATAATACATGTAGTGTATTTATGAAAAATTATTAAATTATAAAATAGATATAGCTTTGTGATTCTGTTTAGGCCAGCAGAGAAGGCCTTGCAGGC